GCAGTAATGAGCAGTTGGCAAGATGCCAGGGCAATATCCAACCAACCTCATTCCTAGTTGTTTATTTTTTCCAGCGTTTCCAGCTCATAATTCACAGATTCGCTCTGCGTATTTCACCATGAAAGCGTGCTCACATCAGGATCCAGTGATGCACTCTCTAGACACATTTTTGTCTGTATTAATTACTATCACCTCATGCTGCTTTAGCGTAAGTCAGCGCAAGTCAGTAAGGAAACATACCTGACTTGATTTATTATTCTTGCAGTGTTTTTGGATCCTTCACCATTGTAGGACCATGATTACTTTAGACCTTTTCACACAAAACATTTTATTCTGTCATTTACTGCCCTAAAGAAAATATATCATTTTTAAATGTCAATAAAATCCCAATTCAATGTTGTTTAGAACCCCATTGACTTCCATATAGACACAAATATTTTTTTTTTAAACATTTTGTTTTCACCATGCTGGTAGTGTGGAACTGTCCATTTAAGACCTAATTACTTGACAGATAAACGACTTATCTACAATCAAAACCATGTTTACTGTTAACTGCAGCCTGATGATTGAATCAAACGGAATCCAAATTAATAGTTAACTAGCTTTTTGGCTTTTTCTGGAATCCCAGTAATGTTAATGCTAATCAAGTCAATTAACATGTCAAGAGTTTTCTGTGCTCCTCCTCCTTTTACGTGCCGGACAGTGTTTCTCATGGAAGCCTGCCCTGTGGTGAAGAGTCTTTTGTTATACTAAATAAAAAAACACAAGGATGGTACTCAGGACCTAGGGCTATGAGGAGACCCATTTGCTACCTGACACCCTGCCAAGCACATGCATGGCTCCATATAATGCACACGCTCTGCTGCACTATCATGCAATGAAAGATTAATAGGAGACAAAGCCAAACACATTATCAGACATGCATACATTTTTAATGGATGTATTTTATCTACAAACTTTTAAAAGAAATATACCTACAGTTTGTTTTACAGAAAAAACAAAAACAAAACTGATTCAGTAAAAACCTGTGAATTGGGTAACTAACACTGTAGTATGTGAGAGAAGAAACTTTTCTGCTGGAAAGTATGATGGATGGCTGTGGAATATGAGTGGTCTGCTCAGAGCTGGCATAAGGTCCACAGACCACTAAAGAGAGAGAGAGAGTCATTACAGCCTCCAATGAGCTCCACTCATCTCTCAGTCATTGGCCTTGTATATTTCCTTTTTGTCAGTTCTCCCCAGTCGATATATTTAGAATACATATATTCATAGTGGATCTAGTAAATATCAAGCAGCTGGTCAGCAGATAGTCAGGACACTTCCTTTCTGTTGAGTTTTGTTTCATTAACTTTATTGTGATTTCATTTCCTTTTCCAGGTTGTAAAGTACCTAAATTCTTTCTACATATTGTTGTTAATTCATTATCAACTACAAGTTGCTGCTATAGGGGGTAAAAACTATTTATGGGCAGTGGAGGGGGGTTTACAGGGTTGTAAGGGAGCAGGTCAAAGTTTCTATTTAATCAATCAACATGGTCATGGTATGAGTTCATCCAAAATCTTGTTTTGTGTTATTGCCGACCTTCACTGCACTGCACAGGGAGAGCTGTTCCTACCCCTGCCCACAGAAACACCCCCTGTGAGATGGAACAATGTAGGCCACAAGGATGTTCATCTATGCTATGGATATTATTTGAACCAAGCCAGATCAGATTAGCAAAACTACAATAGAATGGAACTTGTTTCCATGAAAGACGTTTTCTCAAATCTTGAATTTTATTATTATGCTTCAGGGTTCCAGGACCAATACTTTTTTAATGTATGTATGACATTTACTTTTAAAATGTATTTCTGTACTTTTTTCACACGGTTGACTGAAAGCACAATGTGGGATTGGCACATGCAAAAAAGTCTCATTTGGACCAGAGCAAAGTTTTTGAATGGAGCTCTAGCAGCTCTAGGTGAAAATGCCTCCATCTAAAATACATACTGCATGCATACATGAATGACAATAAGATCGCTCTTCTGAGCATCATTTGCATCTTTATATTGCTTTTACGTGACAGGAATAAATTACATTTTAAAATATATTAACATACAAAACAGTTGTTTTAAATTGTAATATTTCGCCATATTACTGTTTACAGTATTTGTGACCAAATAAATGCAGCCATGGTGAGCATAAGAGACTTTTTTCATAAACATTTAAAAAAAAAAAAAAATGTAGGGCTGTGCAAAGATTAATTGCAATTAATCGCATCCAAAATAAAAGTTTGTGTATACGTAATATATTTGTGTGTTCTGTTTATAATTATTTTGTATATATAAATACACACACATGCATGTATATAATTAAAAAAATGTGTTATTAATATATAAAATATTTATATATAGATTATGTATTTATAGAAATACAGTATTTACGTGCAAATAATTCTTAAATATATACATGCATGCATATATTTATGTATACAAAATAATTATACACAGCACACACATATATTATGTAAACACAAACTTTTATTTTGGATGCGATTAATCACAATTAATCTTTGCATAGCCCTATTTATTTATTTTTATATTGTTATGCTGACTGTTTCCTTAAACTAGCACAACAGAGCAAAGATGGTCTCTTAGTGTTAACAGTAGTGTGGATTAACATTTTATAAATGACAGTGTGCATGGCTTTGTAAAAATGATAAATGCCTTGCAGAATAGTGGTCTGATAAATCGAGTCTGGAAGCATGGTGGTGCAGGCTGACCTGCGAACGGTCGGACAGGTAATTGGTTGGATCAGGGTGTAATTCAGCTCTAACAAATCCCTTTCACAGCTGGCATTCTGTCTGAGACGGGTAACTCTAGGGGGATGGGTGAGAGACAGATAGAGATTGAATATAATGATGAGGTAGTGGAGGAATTGGGCAAGAGCAAATGAAAAATAGCGCCCTTGTTGGTGAGATTCATGGTACATCTGGGGACCAGTGAATAAGGAGGATTAGGGGAACAGAGGTAAAGATGAAAGAAGGGCTAACCAAAAGAAAGACAAATAATGCAAACATGCAAAGTTTGTCACATCACGTCATGAGCGTAACCTATGGGTTTTGATGATTGAAATGTGAATATTTTGACCATTTCGAAATATAACGCCAGCGTAACAGAGCTCACTATTTGTAAAGCGTCAGAGTTTGTAAAGCGAGTCTCTGAAAGCCAAAGCCAGCCATGTATTTGTCATGCAAAGCTGTTCCCCTCCTCCTGCCCTGTCTGCCCGAGCACAATGCATCTGCCTGCGTTCCCAGGCTCCACTTGCTCTCTTCAGTCTGGGAGGGGGAAGAGTAGCCCACTGGCCTGACCAAACTGACCCTTGTCCTACTGCAGCTAACTCACTCACAAGCAGCTGGCCTCGGACCTCCGCTGATCATCAATATTCATGCCTCATACAAAATTCATTCTCAATATCACAGACGCCGGGGCCTGAGCTGTCCCGAGCACTGTGCGCAGTTACTTTCTTGTTTTGTTTTGGGACAGATTTGTGACGAAACAGACTTGTTAATGAAGAAATATGTCTTACATAATATTTGGAATGACTATGAAAGGATATTAAAAAGCAGACTAATTGGACAGTACAAAAGTAAATAAATAATGTTTGGAGTTACAAAATGCTAATCATTCTGTGATTTCAACGTCATGCATTGTACCTCTGAACTCAATGGAATGTGGCTCTACCTGCTCATGTGTTTTTAGTATCCTATTTTTGTGTCACATAAAATTAGGTAAAATTATGAGACCGAACATCGGGAATACATCTGACTATATTGATCAAGTTTATAAATTTAAAATCCGCTTGAAACAGTTTCAATCGGTAGCTATACTTCTGTGCATTTCCTGCCTAGTGAGGCAGAATGAGTGCCTTCAAAAGGACAGCGTAGCCGAGTTGTTTTCATCCTGTGTGCCACTGCTTTGTCTTCAAAGTGAAAACGCAGGCAAATTCCAGACTAAAAGCTGGTCTGTATCTATATTGTTGTAGATTTATTTAGGTTTTCCCTAGTCTGCACTTGGTTGGCATTTTTGTCTTGTGATGAAAGAGTTGTGCATTTCACAATGGTGAGGGTATTCACTGTCAACAAACATCTGAAAAAAGAATGAGGAATAGGTTTTGTCTAATTAGTTTCACTATAAGTGACTGCAATGTTTTCATAATACTTTGATGGCATTATAAGCACTAATCACATTTTAAATAGCCTATGGAATCTATGAGAACACAATATTATTTCAAAATTATATGGACCCTAAATTTTAATAAAGTGAAACAGCCCTGTTTGAGATTAAATCAAATGCTATTTGACTTTTTGATGGCATCCATCTGTGTGACATTAGGAAATTTTACCTAGTGTACATTATTTTATTTTAAATTTTACTTGCATACCAAATTATTTTTTACCCGGTTGTCTTACAAATATTGTTTAAACAGTGTTGGTTTCTTAAACTCTTGACATCACTTTTGTTACCATTTGTTTGGATTTTGTATTCCTTAATTTTGGAGTGTCTATTTATATTATGAATTATGTTGTTTGAAACAACGTTGTTATTCTCTCTATAAGCCATTTATTATACATTTCCATCCATTCCAATATTTGACTTTATATCACGTTGGGAAAAACACATCTAGCAAAGCCATCGTGACGAGTCGTTGTTGACCATTAGCTCTCAGGCTGTGTTTCAAAACCTAGCGAGCTGCCTAACTAGACAGTATATTTTGGGCATTAAAATCAGTTCAATTTTATCACTCTTCACAAATGTTTTAGAACGATGCTTCCCAATTTCCTACGATGTCCAAAAATACCGCATGCTCTTGAATCGCAAAAAAAAAATGCACTATAGTTAGGCAGTTCAGTAAGTTTTGAAGCACATCCTGAATGTGGCCACCATTTTGGAGGTGAGTGTGTAGAGTTGGAGGAAGTGCTCTGAGAGCAGCGCTTGAGCTCTTCCTGTAACGTTAGGATGAATGCATGAATGCGAGAGAAGAAAATGGCGATCGAGCAGGACAAATGTTTCCCCTCCTAGACTCTGCAAATGTGTTGATTTTCTACAGCCTTATTTGCTTTCATTTCATCTCTGCTGCACTTTAAACTACAAGAGGTGAGTTTTTCGAACCGTTCGTGTGTGTGTTTTTGTGGTTTCCATACATTTATCCACCGTATCTGCGATATATAAGCTGAACTCAGCACTGGAAAGACACGATAAAATGTTTTGCTGTTGTTCGCATTTGCATGATAGTTACACGTTTTAATTGTTTGTAAAACAATAGTGTCTACTGTCTGCATGGTCTAAACAGCACAAATGCATCTCTGTTGTGGATTTCTTGAACATTGATCTCCTGCTTTCACATAATGGCATCGAAGTGACATTGCAGTCGGCGTGCGTGTATACAAATATAAAAGTCGAGTTAATGAATGTAACTTACTGTATGTTAATATCAGGTTTCGTGCGTTCTGAAACTTTACTGTAGTGTATTTTGGAACGATGTTTTGATTAAATTTGGATGTTTAATTCGAAGTCCTGCAACTTTTCTTCATGTCGACTTAAGTTGGTAACGTTGCTGGAACATTCGCTCGATAATAAAGCAACAATGAACGTTACGATAAAATAACACTTGTGAGCAATTGATCTATTGTGTGATTCGTTGAGCAGTTAAGTTAAATGAGAGAGCCCTTCGTAGCCAGCTGGTTTGTTAGCTTTCTTAGCTCAGCTGCTGAATTGCGCACATCGAGTAAAATGGTCTTTAATAACTGGATAACTGTTGGTTTTCATTTTAACCGATTTATTCGCTTTAATAACATCATGCAGAGGCCAGCGTTAAATGGTGCGTGTTTATTTTGTCTTTAGCTTTTAAAGTACGCAGTCACGGAAGCTAGTTTATTCAGAAGGGAATTTTCGGAGAAAAAGCAGGGTTTCCCTTTCCCAATCCAGAATGAAGGAAATATAGACCTCCTGAAGTCGCTCTTTGAGAGAAAAAGTTGTTTAGCAACGTGTTGACTGTGTAATACTGTAATGTTTTTAAGGGCAGGTCAAGGTTGCTGCTGTTAGCAGCAGCAGTAGCAACTGAAGCCAGAGGTGGGGGAGGAGGAGGTGTCCCTGCTCCCTGCTTTTAACCCTCTGTATAAAGTATAGCAAATGTTGAACTTTATAATTTTATACAAAAAAAAGTTATACAGGATTCAACTAATAGTGTAAGTCAGTTAAATGTAATTTAAGCTGAAATGACTTAAACATCCAAGTTGAAAATTAAGGCAGCACCTTTTTTTTTTTTTTTACTCCGTGACTTACAATCAGTAGTGTATTCATCCATCTTTTCCTAATTTTCCTATTATGTAACTATGGAGAGAGGCATAATGAGTTGATTTTGGTTTCACATTGTAGTGTGTGTTGTGACGGGATGTTTGTGGTTGTTGCCATCAGATAAATCACCCAACTATGTGAAACTGAGATCTTGGGGAGGGGGTTCTAGATCTATTCTATGTTTGACTGTTTCTAGGCTGTATGGTGCCAAAGCATTGCCTTGTTGTCATTGCACAATTCAGTGTCATTATTCACACAATATAGTCTCATGTACAAGAATGAAATGTGCTGTTTGCATTCACCTCCATTTAGTTATAGCCTATATCAGGCTATATAATCCAATTCCACTCTGATTCTGTCAGATTTATGCTTAATGCAATAACTATTGGTTTAGTCAGCATCATCTAGGAACTAGAGAGTGAAAAGTGAATGTCAGTTTATTAGTTTAACAGCTCTGTTTTATTTCCTTATAGATAATTGGATGCTATTGCCACCAAAGACATTGAGGAGAAGCAACACAGGTCAGTAAGTATTTTCATCTCCCTGTAGTTATTTTCAGTGCTTGGTTTTTCTGAAGCTTGATCTTTCTGGGCTTTTCCTATTCATTCCTATGCTGGGCGGCACTAACAAAGCAGAGTCAAAGCAGCTGCTGCTGGTGTAAGCAAATGCAGTTCCGTTTGAATTAAAGGGGTTCCCAGTGCTGAGTAAGCTTTGCTTTTTTTTAAATGTTCAACAAAAACAGTGTTTGTGTAACTCTTTGTGATGTTACTGTATTTCAGTCATGAGTCACAAAACCCTTACCTGCACTGTTTATATCTGCGTTATATCTGAGTTTGTTTTAATTTGTATGTACCAAAAACTACTGATCAAGACTTCAGTAACACTTTCAGTTTTATTTGTTTTTGTCTTGTTGTGATGCAGAGAAGCATCAGTATATTGCTTAACTGGTTTGCTTTTACCTTCAAGTTAATCATAGACAGGTTTTGAGTTGTTCTTATCAGGGAAATGAACATTGCCCCTCTATGGTCATAACCACGTCCACACCTAACAATGCCAGGGACTAGATCATAACACGTTTGCTTTCATAGTTTGATGGCATATTGTTGTATATTTCTAGCATTTAGGCCGAAACATTTTTTTTCTTGTCATTGTTTTATGATTATTTCACAATGTGCTTTTCGTCTGTTGATGCATAATGAGAGACGTGTAATTTAGATCATCTTAGTCATCTACAAAAAAAGCTGCAGGTTTGCTGTCTAGGGCTACACAATTTGGCCAAAAGTTTGATTTTTATATAATAATAATTATGCATACTAAATAGAATTAGTAAACAAAATGGGATTGTGCTGTAATTTCACTGTAAAATTAAAATAGGGTATTTAAAATAATTTTACAGTACAACTGTAAAATAACAATACTAATAGCTCTCTTCATTTCTTTTCATATGTTAAAGGAGAACTCCAGCGAACAATGAACCTTTGGTCTAATAAAACATCGTCTAGTCAATCGTTCTCTGAGTTTTGTTTTCATGATAATCGAATGTAACGAGTTTTATCTCTAAAAACTAGGGATGCACCGATACCGATACCGGTATCTGGTATCGGCCTCGATACCACATTTTCTAAAGTACTCGTACTCGTTAAAAGTCCCCCAATACCGGGGACCGATACCATGTTCTGAGAAATGGGTTAATCACAGGCGCCGAGTGCCCACCCCCAGGCTCCGGCTGCAGCTCAGAGCGGGGAGATGGGGAGACATGTCAGCCGTGTGGAACAGTGATGCGCGGGTCAATGTATAAACAACCCGCACACTACCAACGTTTTCAACTACCGCCCGCTACTCGGACCGCAAAAAAAGTAAGAAAATATTGTACCCGACCCTCTTCCTGACCGTATTTTTTAAAAGTAGTACATGCTCATCGTAGCGTCATTGGGCCATAAACGTGTAACAACACAGCATCGCAAGAAGACGTAGCCTACATATAACAAAGGCAGCACTTTGGTCATCATCTTTCATTATTTCGGTAAATGTCTCCCACACTTACTCTTTCTATTTGTGTATTTGCGGAGCTTCCACTCCCCAGTCTTCACCTTTTCTCTTGCCGCCTCCATCTCTCTGCAGACTAGTGATCATAGACATGGCCGGTTCGTGAACGAATCGGTTCTTTTTAATGAACCGGTCGAACCAGTACGCTAAATCGAACTGAATCATTCGCATCAGTTCACGTCTTGCGTCAGTGCTGATCCACAAGTTACTACAGTTACTCACTTTCAGACATGCCTGACAGTCCCTCCGAGTTGAAATAAACCAATATCCCGAATTATATTTTACTCCAGTAACTCTAACAGTTCACTGAACTGAGACATGTTGTTGATACTGCTGATACTGCGCATCCGCGTATAGTAACGAACGCAGAGGTACAGCGGTTCTCGGATCACACCAGTACAGAACTGAGAACTGTTTAGACTGAGCTTGTGTGTCATCTTCGTGCTAGTTATTCAGCTAATAAATAAATTCGGCCTATATATTTCATAGAAAATTCTATCTAGTACTATATAAATACAAAGGTTTAATTGGCATTTTTTTCCAAACGACCTGACCGACCGCGACCCGAATATCATTAAAAATATTTTTGGATGACCCGTAACCGCGGGTGACCGCGGCGCAGGCACGCGCTCATTTTGGATCAACCCGTGCATCACTGGTGTGGAACAATTTCAAAGTGAATGGCTTTGGATTAGGAGAATAAGTTTACTTGTAGTCGCCAAGTTACTTATAGTCAGTTGAATGTCTGTTGGGGGACCAAATAAATAAAGTGTTATCAGATATTAAGCTGATCGTACTAATACTCTAGTCTACTAATACTCTAATGACAGTTAGTTGACATGTAATTGAAAAGTTACTTATAGTTAGTAAAGTGGACTATCGAAATAAAGTGTTACCCAAGTAATTTAATCAAGGACCTAAAAACCCGTATATAAAAATATTTAAATCATGTTTTTTTTTGTTTTTTTATTAAGTACTCGGTATCGGTATCGGCGAGTACTGAAATGCAAGTACTTGTACTCGTACTCGTTTTCCAAAAAAGTGGTATCGGTGCATCCCTACTAAAAACTTAGTGTATATATTTAAGTTGATCCCCGAACGCTGTTCATACAGTTCAGAAGTTTGCTGAACTTCATACAGTTCAGATCACTCAGCACGACGTTCGTGGTTTGACTTATCAAGACTATTTTTTAAGATGGCTCCTGTCTGTATACACGAAGTGAACTGTCTTCATAAAGTATCTTCTTATTAAACGGTCTGTACACTTACAAAGTTCTCAATGCTTTGATTTGCATGTATGGACCCTCATTATGTTACTGCGTTAGTGTGGCTAGATATTTTGAGCCTTGTTAGTGCACTAGCGATTTCTTTTTACTTACTCAATGCCCCCATTACTAGCATTATACACTAAACAATTTTTAGAGATTAAAAAATCTTTACATTCGATTATCATGAAAACAAATCTCAGAGAACGGTTGACTATGTACCGATGTTTTATTAGACCAAAGGTTCATTGTTCGCCGGAGTTCTCCTTTAAACAATCAAGCTTTTAGTTTGGTGCAGGGAGGCCTTAAAAGGAAAGTTCACCCATCATTTACTCACCCTCATGTCATTCCAAACCCGTAAGATATTTTAATAAAATCTGATCTAGTTCTGTACTCTCCATTGACAGCTACGTAGCTACCTTTTTGACACTTTAAAAGTTTAATAAAGACATTTTAAAAACTGATCCATTGGAATTAAATGATTTAGTCCAAATTTTCAGAATTTTCAGACATGTTCGCTTTATATGATTTTACAGATTGACTTTAGGTGTTTCACATAAACATTGATCAGTGAACATAAACAGAAGCTCAAGCAGAACCTGCTTGTCATGCGAGAACAAACTTCATTGGTTCTTGCTGAAGCTCAAACGTGCTGTGTAACACATGAGAATGAACCTCATTGGTTGTTGTTGAAGCTCAAATGTGCTGCGTAACACTTAAGAATGAACCTCATTGGTTGTTGCTGAAGCTCAAACGTGCTACGTTAACACATTAGAATGAACCTCATTGGTTCTTAAAGCTCAAATGTGCTGTGTAACATATGAGAATTAACCTCATTGATTGTTGCTGAAGCTCAAATGTGCTGCGTAACACTTGAGAATGAACCTTATTGGTTCTTGAAGCTCAAACATGCAGTGTAACATGAACCTGATTGGGTCTTGGAGCGCAAACGTGCAGTGTAACAAACCTCATTGGTTCTTGAAACTCAAATGTGCTGCGTAACACAAGAATGAATTTTATTGTTTTTTGCACGTCAAGCGAACAGCTAAAGCTTCCATTTATCACAACTGATGTGTGCATTAGGTTTGCTACGGTAGTCGGTGTTAAACGGTGTTCAGTCGCACACCGGTTTCATGACTTGCCCACCGCGGCACCGCAGTTATTTTACTACAACAATGTAGTAAAAAATAATAATTTTTCAAATAATAATTATAATATATATATATATATATATATATATATATTATAAAGATTAAATATATAAGCTTTAATTATAAAGATAATAATAATTATAGATTGATTGTTTGACTACAGGTATTTGTAACTCAAGAGCAGATGAGTTTGTGTGGAGCAGCAAATACTGCAAACTAGGCAATTGTCGGTATCAAATTTTCATGCTGCGGTTTATTGATTGAGCTTTTATCACAATATTTTAATTGCTCAAGAGTAACAGATGGATTGTGGGTATCTACAAAAACAACAACTTACATCACAATGTGTAGTTGTGATTTTCAAGACATATGGTAACAAAACAGAATTTTATCAAGTTTAGTGACAACATGTTACAATGTTTACATAGTACAATGACTGGTAGGCTACTGTTTGTATTATTCAATTAAATTCTTTGATTTGATTTCATTATTGACTCATTTGGATAAATATTAGGTAGGCTACAGTCTGCATGTTAATTTTTCTCAAGAAAAAATAATCTCACATAATGCTGTAAACGTACAGATAGAAATTAAATATAATGTGGTTTTCATTATAAGAACAATTATGTAATGACAAGTAAACATAGTAATATAGTGCACATATTTAGCTAAATACTCCTATTTTTTCTAGTCAACTAATCTGCTGGTCGTTAATTGGCTTTCCTGAGGTAAATGTAACGTTCTGTTACATAATTGCCTGCAGTTTTATTGACCTCTTTCCGTGTTTGAAAAACACTGATTGATCGATAATATTATGTATGAGGCATATACCTTTTGGTAAGTTTTACAGTATCTTTAAATAAAAACTAACAGATGATTGGTTTAATTGAACTGAGGCGCAGCGATCTTTCACAATGGACAAAAGTGACCTGCTCTGTCTAGCCTGTCGATGATATCAGTGTCCTCTTTGCTTCGCGATTTTTCTCTGCGTGAGAGTGTGTGAAAAGTGTCAATTGCGTAAAGCGCCTTTCTGAAAGGCGCTTGAGTCTCAAGCTTAATTTGT